TCCATGCAATATTTCATACTTCTATGCATCTATCACTGTTTGCTTCTGTCAGAAGTTCAAAGGCAGCCTGCTTTCATCAAGGAGAGCCAGTATTGACTGATCCATAATATTGTTTCTACCTTTTCTGACCAATCCTAGAAGCATATTTCTAGGTTTGAAAAGCATTTCATGAATCACTGGGCAATTTGAAAAATCTATAGTGTAAGCTCATTATCGTGCTGACTGCTGAATGTTTTCCATTGGTTGTGTTTGCGATGCAAAAATGCTGGTTTTACCAGCCCTATCTGTCAGGAAAGAAAGAAAGAGGATCATACATACATATATAACATATATACATAAAGAATAAAAGAATACATGGAGCTGATAGCAGTGTGATATACTTCATTCCTTATACACCTTTGGATGCTCCACTCTCCATTAATCCATGCAAACTTTCATTATATTCCAACCTCCTTGGCATCTTTATTCTCATTTTGCTAACCTGTCTGTCAAAAAAAAAAAAAAAAAAAAAAAAAAAAAAAAGCCTATGTCTGTCCTCCCTGGAACATGGCGCTCCCAGCCATCCTCCAAAATGTCACTAGCTTAAGGCCCAGGACAGGCAATATTCTGCTTTAAGCTGGTGATCATGATTTAAGTGCCTATCTCATGAGGCTGCAAAGCTAAAAGTGGGACCTTTGTGCTTGCCCCTGAGCTCCTTGCCCCAGCAAGTAAAGATAGATAAAAGATGTATAGGCTTTAATTTCAGTGGAGCCAGGATTTTACTCTGGAGGAGGCAGATCCAAGGCTTCGCAGACCACAGAAATATAATGGAAATGATTAAATGATACAACTTTAAAAGGAGTCATTTTTAGATGAATTGTATATTTTTAAGAAATATCTCCTTGTGCTTCGTCACATATAGAATCTTAGTAACTGAGAGCCTTCATTTCAAAGGCAAAAGGATATCAAAGCAGTCCTGATAGAATTAACCTCCCCCCCTCCAATCTATCTGAAGCGCTTCCACCACCAACTTTTTTCTGAAAAACTTCTTCATATACACATTGCGTGATGGGAATGTATTAAAGTGCTTTCAGCCCTCCTGCAGAGAAATGCACACAATTCACCCAGAGTTTAACTGCCTATATCACAACAGATCTCTCTCTTTTTCTGTGAAGGGTCATAGATAAACAAAATCTTCATTTTCTTTCTCTCTTTCAAACTGGGCACAGCTCTAAATGAATTATATGCTTTTTTTTTCTCTCTCTCTCTTTTTTTTTTTAACAGCAAAGGAGCCACACTGCCATCAGTGAGTTGCAAAATAATTAATCACATAAGACTGTCCAGGCTTTCATTCTGTGGATGTGAAGTGCTTGGAGAGTCGCTGCAGCTCCCAGCTGGGAGGCACAAACAGGCTGTCTCCAGGTATGGTGGAAAGGAGGGAGGAAACTGAGCGACCAAAGCAGCATTTTCTGGAGTCCCATAGGAATTAGCTGGTGTGTTCAGGGAAAATGTCATGGCAAAACAACACTGAGGCATTAGCAGGTTTGCTAGCTATTGCTCTCATCCTAACTTACATTGAATGCTTTGAATGCTGTCTGTGAAGATGCACTGGCGTGAATGAAGAGTAATGCTCATTCCAGGCCAATCATAATATGTTTATAGTTGTTCATAACATAAGACACAGATGATGCTGTTTGTAATTTTATTAACTTCATGAGAGACCAACCCTGAAATGATTCTTTGAAAGGGTGTTTTGTATATATAAATGAAAATCTGTGGAAGACAAGCTGGGTAAAAATGCATTATAAAAGGATAGTTATTTCATTCATCCAGGCGGCTCAGGAAAAGTTGCTGTTTGAACAGTTTTATTTAGGAATCGATGAATGAATTCTGTCACTTCAAATCCAGTGTCAGCTTTGAGAAGTTTGTTTCTATCTGCATCACTACTCTTACATGGATTTCTCAGTCTACGCAAATTTTTGTTTTATGTCATTTGTGTCTTTCTGAAACTGCCACAAGCAGATTATTATCTCATGTGACTCTTTTGCCAGCCTGTAGCTGCCAGAAATATGTCAGTGAAAAGAGGAAATCAGGAGAGGGGACAATCCCTGTCCCCTGTTAAGCACAAGGAAAGCTCTCCATTGAAAAAAAATAGTCACAGCTCTGCCGCTTTTTCTACTGGGCTACCAATAACACCTCTATATGTCATAATCTGTCTTTACCTCTGACCTCTCTAGGAAGGGAAATATTTGAACAGTGATGTATATAGGACTGTGAAGAGTAGTCTTTACCTGTGCTTTGCAGCTTCAACTTGAGCGTCAAGAACTTGGAGCAACGTCAGGAGCAAAGTGGCAAACAAAACTGTTGATGGACAAGTGCCTGCATAACTAGCTTGTACTGGATTATGCCAGAATTTTAAACAGTAAGAAACCCAGCTAAGTATCCCTATCATTTTGGCAGGGGGGGAGTTGAAGCAGGGAACCTGATCAGCTTTATGATGTTCTTTTTCAACTTGCTTTCCATGTTGACTAAATGCTTATGAGCTCAACATAAGTTATTCTATACCTATCAGATCTAGTATGTATACAGATGCATATCTACACATATGTATAGACTAAAATACACAGTTAAAATATAGACCTCCAGATAATTAGAACTACTGATTTATAAGAACATTAAATTAAATAGTTGGGCTGTTTTCCAGATGGCTTCTAAAGATGCCACACTTATACAGAAAAACCTCCATAGGGTTTTCCTTGTACTACTGTATTTGTTTCAGTGTGTGTTTGACTGCCAAATATAGTGTCTATGACCATCATAGCTATCTAATTAAATATCTAAGCAGCAGGACTGGATATTATTCAAGTCAAGCTCAGCATTAAATTCAAAAATTGAGTTTACCTCCTTTATCAGTAGATTTTGAACCAGGCTATTCTACCCAAAACCATAAGCTTAGTGAATTTGATCAAACCTCCTGTGCATGAGTTGCCTGAGATAGAGCTATGAGCCTAAATCATATAAATGATGCCTCAGTGTGGCATGGCAAAATATATTAGTAAGGCTCAGAAAGGTCAGTCAGCAGCAACCTGCTTGCAGATAGTTGAGAAACACAAGCTGCATTTCAGAGCCTAATGCAGGGAGCCTTGGAGAGCCACAGATAATTTGCTTTCAATGATTCATCAAGTTGGCCCTTCGTTTCTCTAATGTGAGTGTCAAGTGCAACCATGTAATAAAGAATCGCCAGGACCCGATAAGATTCTTCGCATATTGCTTCGTTTGTCTTAACAACTGCTACTCCTGCAACCCAACCACAAATTGAATAAAGAGCCTGTGTGCATGCCATAGGAGCGCTCTTCTGGAAAAGCATAAAGCGTGTTTACTGTGCCCTGCCCTGACATGCCACACATTTGTGCTTCTTTAATAGTTTTTCCTTCCTTAACAGGCACTAAATGCTTCATCCTGTGCCCCTGCTAGAGGAGGCAGTTGTTTCACTGTTAGTCTACCAGTGAATTAGTAAAGATGGAAAAATGGATTTCAGTGACAATTGAAGCTACGAGAAAGCTGCTATTATGACCATGGTTGAGTTAGCCTGCTGATCGTTTTCTCCTTAATGTAATATTTAATGTTATATTGGCATAGGTTAGATGCAAAGCCATATATTAGAACTGTTATTTCCATGAGTAATTTCAAGAGAAATATGTTCATGATGAAGATACTTTTTTAAATGCTATGCTGTCATTTGAATAACGTCCTAAGAAATCAGCCTTAAAATGGGTTGTTTTGAATGGGCACATTTATAAATGCGGAATTCCCAGAGCAAGAAATCTGTGCAATTTAAGAACCTTCAGTGAAGTTCTCGCAACTGAACTGCACCCCATTAACACAAAGCAGGAAACAATAAAAATTGGGAAAAAATAAATAAATAAAAAAGAGAGTGGAAAAGCAGTCAGCTTCTCAGCAGTCAGGAAGATGGCAGTTGGAGCAAGCCGGTGAGAAACTCTAGGTTTACTTTAAGAAATTAAATAAATAAATAAATAAGGAAGGCAGAGAGCCTGTGTCAGGAGGTTTTATAACTGGCTGTGAGGGCTTGAGGAAAGGCTGCAGGAGAGCGAGCCCGCAAGGGTCGCTAGCGCCGAACAAGTTGCAGGCGTTGATTGTGTTGTTGTTTTGGGTTTTTTGCTTTGTTTTGCCCTTTTATTTATTTTATTTTTTTCCCCTCCCAGGATGGATCCAGGCTGCTGCCCGAGCGCTGCCAGCTCCCGCAGATCCCGCTGGCGGGGGTGGAACGGCGCCTTTCCCGCTGGGGGAGGACCGGAGTAACGCGCTGCGCAGCCGTGCGGGGCGGCGCGGAGCGGAGAGGGGGCCGAAGTTGAACTTCCACCCGCCCGGGAGCCGCGGA